AACTCTAGGGCTACATTTTATGTGATAAACTAGATGGAAGGCAGCCAGTCGACATCACTCACCACTAACTCTAGGGCTACATTTTATGTGATAAACTAGATGGAAGGCAGCCAGTCGACATCACTCACCACTAACTCTAGGGCTACATTTTATGTGATAAACTAGAGGGAAGGCAGCTAGTCGACATCACTCATCACTAACTCTAGGGCTACATTTTATGTGATAAACTAGAGGGAAGGCAGCTAGTCAACATCACTCATCACTAACTCTAGAGCTACATTTTATGTGATAAACTAGAGGGAAGGCAGCTAGTCAACATCACTCACCATCAACTTTTTACCAACGAATAGTGGGAATAGCTGTCACATTATAACACATTCGTAGCTAAAAGGGCAAACATTTTCAGTGACTCGGATTCGAACTCACAACCCTCAGATTGCGAGTTGAGTGTCCTAACCATCAGGTTATGCAAAGTTATTGGAAAAGATGGAAGTCATTTCTTAAAATGATTTAGGTATTGATGTAAAAATATGGGCTTACGTATCTATGAAACTAATTTTTAACTTTTAGCCTTGTTTTTGTATCACGTGACACAAGCAGTTGATATTTTCCTAGTATAAAAGTACATATTACTTTACAAGTTGGTACAAAAACCAAAGATATGTCAGAAATAAGATTTCATACCTTCAAAAACTCATGTGAAAGGCTAGGACGCTCTGTAGGTCAGTTGTTTGGAGCTTGACTTAATCCAGCTCACAATAGATTTATTCAATTCCAGGTTACAGTTGCTAATGGAGCACACAAGGAATTTATTGTTAGACCAAAGAATTGACCCTGAGACTGACAGTATATTAAAATACATCAAGATTACTGAAGGTATCTTGAATAGCTTCACTGTTAAAACTATTAAATTCATCAATCTGAGTAGGTAACTGTTCTTCAATTAGGCTTTCTATAACATTCACTAATTTACTTAATACTACTAGTAAGTTATCAATTAACACATTGACTGAAATCTGCTCAGACATATCATAATATTACACATTACACATCCAAATCCTAACTACATTATTTGATTCTGAGAGATATCATTAGTTACTTACATGGAGCTTGGATATTTTCAATGTTGTTTTGGTCTCAGGATCAGGCAGCATATTCATCCAGGAGCAAGTTGTTTAGTTTCTAAACATGACTGAATTCTAGCCCCAAAACATAGGTTTTTATATGGATTTCTTTGGTATTCTTACGCTTCTCCAAATAGTGTACACATCGAACTCTCAAGTAGATCTGTCACTTAATTGGATGGAAATCAGAGACTCTGGGTGGAACTTTGATCTTAAAAGGACGAGGAGAAGTACATTCAGATAGTCTGCTGATTTACTGTCTTCGATGTAAGGAAATCAGAGACTCTGGGTGGAACTTTGATCTTAAAAGGACGAGGAGAAGTACATTCAGATAGTCTGCTGATTTACTGTCTTCGATCATAACCAATTGATGAATTAGTTTTGGTTTTAGTTCCGAGAAATACGAGTAGTTGACAAAATTCTTACTAATTCCTTATATGGAAGTTGTGTCTAATCTCTAATGAAGTTGATATAAACATTCTCATCGCTTTCTCTCTGCTGCGGTGGTGTCAGTTTATAGGTAACGTAAACACTATATTTGACATATACATTTCATTTCTTGGCCAAGCAGTATTGCATAACTTCTAGTATACATTCATCAGAAGTGTCCAGTTTTCTTCATTATCATAAAATTATGTTTCTCCTCTCTTGAAAATAGCATAAATGTTTCTTTTAATTCAGTAGTTATGCTGTAACTATCTTCTTAATTGTTTAAATGTATTTATATATTTGTATTAGGAAATCAATTTTTTCTTATTGTTTTAAATATTTTCCAAATATGAATTTTTATTATCGTTGTACCTCCTGGTGTCTTAACAGTCAATCTGAGGGTCTATCACACCAAAAATTGGATTTTGATACTGCAGTGGGCACAGCACAGATAGCCCATTGTGTAGCTGTTTTGCTTATCAACAAATAAACAAACAAATAAGTATCATCATGTTAAAAAACTTTTAAATAACAGATATTTAATCATTTTCACTCTAGTAATTTATCATAAAAATAGTTAAACAATTATTCAGTAACTTACTACTAAAAAATTGGACTATCCTTTAGTAACTTACCAGGAAATGGTTGAATTAACATGTAATACAGTAGTCTGAATGTTGTAGGTATTCGAAGCTTTGACTAAATGTTGGGCTTCACAGTTCACCTTCCAGGCTGTTCAATACAAAAGGTAGGTTTGTTTTTCTAAGATCTTATTTAAAAGTTTAACTTAAAATTCAAGTGCACACTTTTGACGTATCTTTGTAGAGTTGGAGCATTTCAGTAAAACATGACAAGGGCACTGAATTTATTAGTAAAAACTTCCTACCAAGACAATATTATGGCTAGATATCATAAAGTTAGTTGTTATCTTGCTAATTTTTTTATTTGTACAGCAAAAATAATTGAATTTTAAATTGGGATATCATCTAATTATTTAGTATGGGGAATGCTGCTACATTTTTTTAAGTGAGAAAAGTTATTAAACTATATTTTGTACGACTGTTGCAGTTAGCAATTCAACACAAATAATCAGTGCTAATTCCAGGATTGTGAAAGTGTGAAGGTAAAGGGGGTAGCGGGTAGATAGGTATGGGGGAGAGGCTTTTTCCAGATAAGTGGAAGAAAATCTATGGAAGATAATTATGAGACTTTCAAAAAGAGTGATTATTTTTCCTGGGGAATGATTCTATTAATATTACAAACACATTTATCTGTTGTATAAGGTTCATTAGCAGTTTGATACATTTTTTCATTGAGTAATCGGACTAATTTCCAAAGTTATTAGTTGATTAAATGAAAATTAAATTCTTAAACTTGGTGAATTTTTTAAAATTTGAGTATATTTTTATAGAATAGTTTATACAAGCTAGGAAATGATGAATTACTGCCCTTTCAAGTCAGTCAAAGGGGTTCTAGTGCAATTTCCCATAAATTTTGTCCCAAATAAAACTTCAACTCATACCAACTTGTACAAGTATCTGTGTCACCTCATGAGCCAGCACAAAGTTCTATGTAATAGCTGTTGCCAAATCTGCTATCTAAACAAAAGAATTAATATATTTTCAGATAATTTGGAGAATTCAGTTTACTATGAGTATAATACCTACATGACAAACTATAAAATTATGCAAATATTCCTTACTAAACATTTATTCTAAATTAGTTATAGAAGGGTGAAATTAGCAGTTATCTCAACTGTGACATGCATATGACATATTCATGCAAGTGAAATATGTAAAGACAGATATTTATGTGTGTGGCCTAGAGACAGGTATTTATGTGGGTGACTTAGAGACAGGTCTTTGTGCGGGTAGACTTCTAGAGACAGGTAAAGACCTGCAGGTGGCCTAATTATAAAGTTTTTATGGATGTCCTAATGTTTAAGTGTAAAATATGTGGAGGTTTAATTACAATAGTAGTGGCACTGTATGAGGCATATTGTATCGTGTTATAGGCAGAACGGACAGCCGATTGACACAGAAATGGGAGTGGTAATTCAGGAAATGGTTCCTTCCGAAGCTGCGGGTGTTATGTTTACACATGACCCTGTTACTGGTAATCCAGCCCACATCTTTATTACAGGAAATTATGGCCTGGGTGAGGTAGGTGTCAGTTTAAAGATGTGCCAGTCTTGGCTATGGAAGAGTGTTCTGTAGCTTTTACAAAGAAGTTAAAATTGGTTGCATTTGTGTACAATGTTATCCTAGTTTTTGTTATTTTTTAAATGTGTACAATGTTATCCTAGTTTTGTTATTTTTAAAATGTGTACAATGTTATCCTAGTTTTTGTTGTTTTTAAAATGTGTACAATGTTATCCTAGTTTTTGTTGTTTTTAAAATGTGTACAATGTTATCCTAGTTTTGTTAT